GAGACTGACAGGTCTAATTCCTCAGACCAAGAGCCTCTTCACCACGCCAAGGAGCCCCCCTTGAAGAGGTCGTACTGTTATAGAAAGTCAACAGACAAATTGCTATTCTCATGACAGTTCATGGAACCTGCATATAGCTGGGTTTCATTTTTGTGATACACAAATGAAGAGCAGAATCATTTAAATTTTTTCTTTTAAGATACTGCTGACTGTTAGGTACTTATTATTTACAAGAAAAAACTAAAAAAAAAACTGGGGAAACTACAAGTAAACGTTGCTGAACAATACCCAGTAGTAGAAACCCGAACATAGCATGGAGAAATGTTTAGGATGCACATTTTCCTATTAAATCCTCCATTACTCTACAGTGTACTCTCTTAATACTACATCTGTGAGAGATTATAATGGATCTGTTAATGGTTCTGGAATCACCATCATAGGTGCCCAGTCAGAGACTAGGCATCTTAAATTAGAAAGTGTACATGTGCAAGGATGCATATGCTGACATATTAGGAGTAAGACACATGCACAGCCAAGCTATTTAACCCTTAAACGGTTCAAACAGATCGACGTTCAAATCCGAAGTGCTCCAAAAGTAGATCTACTTTTTTTTTACATATTTTCAAATATAACAAAAAAAAAAATGTAGATAAAAGTTTTTTTACACATTTTCAAATGTAAAACAAGAAAGAAGATCTACATTTTTTTACATACTTTCAAATGTTGAAAAAACGTATATATACGTTTGGACCATTTAAGGGTTAATGAAGATGTTTTGACACTGGTGGCAAAGAGCTAAAAACAAAGTACCAAGGGTCCCTCATTTTATGTGACAAATGTGTTCGTTGCTGATGGAGAATAAAGTAAATTCATAAAGATTCATTCTGAGATGCAAATTTCACATTTCTTGACTAATGTTCACCAAAAGATATGGGTTTACCCCACTTTCACCAAATGGTCATTTAAAATAAAAGAAAGTAATTTTGGTTAAAAAAAAAAAAAGCTAAGAAGAATAAAATCTAAAATTAAAAAATAGGAGAAAATTATCCACATTATGTATTGTATGAAAAATTTATGAGTATACCAGACAGGCAATTTGTCAAAAACAAATGAGAAGGAATTAATGCATAAATGCACAAAATAGATGAACACTACAGTAGCACTACTGGTCATGCTAGGCAAGTCGTGCTTGAACCCAGTCGCTGTATGACTTGTGGGTTCAACGCTTCTTTTTGATTATAATAATAAGTGAACCCAATCATTACCAGTAAATAAGAAAGGAGTAGTGCAGTAGATCTAATAGCCCATGCTTGGCAAGTCCTACTTACACCCAACAATTACATAAGCATAGAGGTGTACTGCAGCAAACCCATTGGCCCATGCTAGGTAGACCCTATTCACTTCCAAACACATTTGTTTGGTATAGCTTTTTAAAGTAATGTAGATTTATTATTTATCTTCTGTTTGTTGGCAGTTATCCATATCTATTACTGGATGGTGGCAGGAAAGGAAATGGGATGAAGGGATATGGTTGGCTAGTGACAAGATTAGGAGGCTGGCATGGAACTCCACCTGTCTCTTACTAAACCTGCTTACTGTATTAGCACTCCTTCCCACTATTTTTTTTACCCAATGAACTAGTCTTATCCCACCAAGGCAGGGTGATTCAAAGAGAAAAACAAAAGTTTTTGTTTAAATTCAGTAATTTATAAAAGAGAAGGGGTTACTAGCCCCTTGCTCCCTTTCCCACTATTATAAACAGTTTTCTAGTGGGCACTGGAAAATTAAGAGAGTAATTTATTTACATGTCAGTGCCTGGAAGCCTCAATGATTTTGACTTCAAACACTCAAACAAAAAAAAAACTCAGGGAGCTTTAGCATCTTCAAAATTCTAATAAAAATGATCCTACTCAACCATAACACTGTCATCAGGTGACATAATGGCCTACTGGCCCATGCTAGGCATTTTTTTTTTTTAACAAGTTGGCCGTCTCCCACCAAGGCAGGGTGACCCAAAAAGAAAGAAAATCCCCATAAAGAAAATACTTTCATCATCATTTAACACTTTCACCTCACTCACACATAATCACTGTTTTTGTAGAGGTGCTCAGAACACAACAGTTCAGAAGCATATACGTATAAAGATACACAACATATCCCTCCAAACTGCTAATATCCCGAAACCCCTCCTTTAGAGTACAGGCATTGTACCTCCATTTCCAGGACTCAAGTCCAGCTATATAAAAATAACCGGTTTCCCTGAATCCCTTCACTAAATATTACCCTGCTCACACTCCAACAGATTGTCAGGTCCCAAATGCCATTCGTCTCCATTCACTCCTATCGAACACGCTTATGCACACCTGCTGTAAGTCCAAGCCCCTCACCCACTAAACCTCCCTTACCCCTTCCTTCCAACCTTTTCGAGGACAACCCCTACCCCGCCTTCCTTCCCCTACAGATTTATACACTCTCCATGTCATTCTACTTTGATCCATTCTCTCTAAATGACCAAACCACCTCAACAACCCCTCTTCAGCCTTCTTAATACTTTCAGTAACTCCACACCTCCTAATTTCCATACTCCGAATTTTCTGCATAATATTTACACCGCACATTGCCCTTAGACAGGACATCTCCAATGCCTCCAACCACCGCCTCGCTGCTGCATTCACAACACAAGCTTCACACCCACATAAGAGTGTTGGTATTACTATACTTTCATACATTCCCTTCTTTGCCTCCACAGATAACGTTTTTTGTCTCCACATATACCTCAACGCACCACTCGCCTTTTTTCCCTCATCAATTCTATGATTAACCTCATCGTTCATAAATCCATCCGCCGACACATCGACTCCCAAGTATCTGAAAACATTCACTTCTTCCATACTCCTCCTCCCCAATTTGATATCCAATTTTTCTTTATCTAAATCATTTGATACCCTCATCACCTTACTCTTTTCTATGTTCACTTTCAACTTTCTACCTTTACACACATTCCCAAACTCATCCACTAACCTTTGAAATTTTTCTTTAGAATCTCCCATAAGCACAGTATCATCAGCAAAAAGCAACTGTCAATTCCCATTTTGTATTTAATTCCCCATAATTTAATTCCACCCCTCTCCTGAACACCCTAGCATTTACTTCTTTTACAACCCCATCTATAAATATATTAAACAACCATGGTGACATTACACATCCCTGTCTAAGACCTACTTTTACTGGGAAGTAGTCTCCCTCTCTTCTACACATCCTAACCTGAGCCTCACTATCCTCATAAAAACTCTTTACAGCATTTAGTAACTTGCCACCTATTCCATATACTTGCAACATCTGCCACATTGCTCCCCTATCCACTATCATATGCCTTTTCTAAATCCATAAATGCAATAAAAACTTCCCTACCTTTATCTAAATACTGTTCACATATATGCTTCAATGTAAACACTTGATCTACACATCCCCTACCCACTCTGAAACCTCCTTGCTCATCCGCAATCCTACATTCTGTCTTACCTCTAATTCTTTCAATTATAACCCTACTGTAGACTTTTCCTGGTATACTCAGTAAACTTATTCCTCTATAATTTTTACAATCTCTTTTTGTCCTCCTTCCCTTTATATAAAGGGACTATACATGCTCTCTGCCAATCCCTAGGTACCTTCCCCTCTTTCATACATTTATTAAACAAAAATACCAACCACTCCAACACTATATCCCCAACCCCCGGCTTTTAACATTTCTGTCATGATCCCATCAGTTCCAGATGCTTTACCCCCTTTCATTCTACATAATGCCTCGCGCACCTCCCCCACACTCACATCCTGTTCTTCTTCACTCCTAAAAGATGGTATACCTCCCTGGTCTGTGCATGAAATTAGCGCTTCCCTTTCTTCATCGACATTTAAAAGTTCCTCAAAATATTCTCGCCATCTACCCAAAACCTCCATCTCCCCATCTACTAACTCCCCTACTCTGTGTTTAACTGACAAATCCATTTGTTCTCTAGGCTTTCTTAACTTCTTTAACTCACCCCAAAATTTTTTCTTATTTTCATTAAAATTTCTTGACAGTGCCTCTCCCACTCTATCATCTGCTCTCCTTTTGCACTCTCTCACCACTCTTTTCCCCTTTCTTTTACTCTTCATATACTCTACTCTTCTTATAACACTTCTGCTTTGTAAAAACCTCTCAAAGTTAACTTTTTCTCTTTTATCACACCCTTTACTTCATCATTCCACCAATTACTCCTCTTTCCTCCTGCACCCACCCTCCTATAACCACAAACTTCTGCCCCACATTCTAATATTGCATTTTTAAAACTATTCCAACCCTCTTCAACCCCCTCCCTACTCATACTTGCACCAGCCCAACTTTCTGCCAATAGTTGCTTATATCTCACCCTAACTTCCTCCTCCCTTAGTTTATACACTTTCACCTCCCTCTTGCTTGTTGTTGCCACCTTCCTCTTTTCCCATCTACCTCTTACTTTAACTGTAGCTACAACTAAATAATGATCCGATAGATCAGTTGCCCCTCTATAAACATGTACATCCTGGAGCCTACCCATCAACCTTTTATCCACCAATACATAATCTAACAAACTACTTTCATTACGTGCTATATCATACCTTGTATATTTATTTATCCTCTTCTTCAAAAAATATGTATTATTACCAAACCTCTTTCTACACATAGCTCAATTAAAGGCTCCCCATTTTCGTTTACCCCTGGCATGTCCTTATAAAATCCAGCCCTTCTTGCTCATGCAGCATATGGCCTTTCCCACTTGTCTCTTAAATAGTGACTTAACCAATACTGTACCTGTCTTTCTGGGTTGCACTTGACCTCTGTGTACAATATATACCATGTTTTTAGCTGTCTGTACTATAATGGAAGAAAATTACCAGTGGTAAAGCATATCCAATAAATGTCTCAAGTATTCATGTGTATTTTATTTTTGCACAAATTAGAAAGGATACATAATTCCCACCTTCACCATATCAGCCTTTCCTTGTCCAGCCATTGCAAATACACAACACTTGGCATTATTTATCACAGGGAAAGTCATAGTCACACGACATGGAGGGGGCTTTGGGGAGTCACTGATTGCAGCTATCCAGATGCTCTTCTCTTCAAGCAGCTCATGACCTATAAAACACAAGCAAAAATAAATAATGTAAATCTAATTTCTCAATATTTTGTAATACCATATTGTACCTCTGTAGCCTTAGGCATATCAATGACAAATAATATTAATATGGCTTAAATTTACAATATACACTAGCAAAAGCACGTGTATAAGCTCTACAAATTATCGGAATTAACCGTTCACCACGAATTGAGGGCATACATGAGGGTAAACAGCAGTATATGTGGATAAACAAGATCTAAAAAGGTGGTAGATCAACCAAAGAAACCTATATCTACCAACAGAAGCATGCTCACTGCCATATTATTATTATTATAATCAAGGGGGAAGCGCTAAACCCGGAGGATTATACAGCGCCTGGGGGGGGGATGTGGAAGGCATTCAGGCTTAATTCGGGGAACTGGAGCACAGATCCAATTCCCTAAATCAAGAGCCCCTCACCAACATCAAGGAACCTTCCTTGAGGGGCTCACTGCCATAAACATATGCCCTCAATGTGAAGCTACCAGATGCAATGTGTCATTTGATCTCCAATCATGGTCTTTGCATAATCTCCTAAACCCTTTTCACCCTCCACAACCCTCTACACACACATTTTTCACTGTCCACTCCATACCCATCCTACTGGCAACAGTTAAAAAAAAAAAAAAAAAATACACATGAACATAATGGGTCCAGGGACTGGGACCCTTTCAATGGGAGTGTAGGCATATATGTAGCTAATGTGTGTTTAGAAAGGAAAGGAATATCATGAATGTCACAGAGCATTTAATGCAGTAAAAGGTAAGCAGATTTTAATGTTGCTTAGTAACATTATCCATACACATTCTACTTTAATAAAGAATATCATAATTACAACAATCATAACAAAGCTCTAAACCTGTAGGGATTAAACACTACCTTAGAAATGGGGAGTAATCTGTTTTGATCCCACAAAGGGGAGGATATTTCCAATTCCTTCGAACAGGAGACCTTCACTAATATCAAGGAAAACTCCCTTGAAAGTTTTACCTGGGAAAAGTGATGCAGTATGTCCATCTGGTCCCATGCCAAGCAACAGAAGGTCAAATGATGGCCATTCAGAATCTGGGAAGCTGCCTCGTAACTTTTCCTCATAGTCTTTAGCTGCAGCTGCCACTGCAATAAATACACGTTTCTGAAATTCTTAACAGCATTCACTATACAACACTGTACACTGTTTTATTCTGTGTAGAGCTTTCTGATAAAGCTGTGTACAGCAAAATATCACAATAAAGCAAATTTTCCACCTTTATCTTTTCGTCAATACATATACTGTATACTTTCGTACCAGAAAAACTTGACAGCTCTCCATACATTATATATATCAAGACCTACCAGTGTACAATAACTAAATCCAAGTAACTTATAAATAATTAAAAACATAAGAGCAAACATGGGAATACAGGTACAGTGGACCCTCGCATAACGCTATTAATCCGTTCCTGAGAGAATGTTAGGCGAAATTATCGTTAGGCGAATTAGTTTTCCCCATAAGAAATAATGGAAATCAAATTAATCCGTGCAAGACACCCAAAAGTATGAAAAAAAAAATTTTAACCACATGAAATATTAATTTTAATACACACAAACTGAAGACATGCACAGTTACATGACACTTACCTTTATTGAAGATCTGGTGATGATTGATGGGATGGGAGGAGGGGAGAGTGTTGGTCTTAGTGTTTAGAAGGGGAATCCCCTTCCATTAGGACTTGAGGTGTCAAGTCCTTTTCTGGGGTTACTTCCCTTCTTCTTTTAATGCCACTAGGACCAGCTTCAGGGTCACTGGACTTCTGTCGCACAACATATCTGTCCATAGAGGTCTGTACCTCTCGTTCCTTTATGACTTTCCTAAAGTGGTTCACAACATTGTCAGTGTACAGGTTGCCAACACGGCTTGCAACAGCTGTCTGAGGGTGATTTTCATCCATAAAGGTTTGTACTTCAAGCCACTTTGCACAGATTTCCTTAATCTTTGAAGTAGGCAACTTCTTCAATTTCTCACTCCCCTCCTTTGAAGCAGTTTCCTCAGGTGTGGCCTCTTGCTGTTGAAGATGATCTAGCAGCTCATCAGTGGTTAGTTCTTCATTGTCCTCCTCCACCAACTCTTCCACATCCACCCCACTAACCTCCAACCCCAAGGACTTTCCCCAATGCCACAATTGATTCCTCAACTGGCATACGCCTCTCAGGGTTAGCCTCAAATCCTTCAAAATCCCTTTTGTCTACACATTCTGGCCACAGTTTCTTCCAAGCAGAGTTCAAGGTCCTCTTAGTCACTCCCTCCCAAGCCTTACCTATAAGGTTTACACAATTGAGGATATTAAAGTGATCTCTCCAAAACTCTCTTACCTGGAGTTTACCTGGAGAGAGTTCCGGGGGTCAACGCCCCCGCGTCCCGGTCTGTGACCAGGCCTCCTGGTGGATCAGAGCCTGATCAACCAGGCTGTTGCTGCTGGCTGCATGCAAACCAACGTACGAGCCACAGCCTGGCTGATCAGGAACTGACTTTAGGTGCTTGTCCAGTGCCAGCTTGAAGACTGCCAGGGGTCTGTTGGTAATCCCCCTTATGTGTGCTGGGAGGCAGTTGAACAGTCTCGGGCCCCTGACACTTATTGTATGGTCTCTTTAACGTGCTAGTGACACCCCTGCTTTTCATTGGGGGGATGGTGCATCGTCTGCCAAGTCTTTTGCTTTCGTAGTGAGTGATTTTCGTGTGCAAGTTCGGTACTAGTCCCTCTAGAATTTTCCAGGTGTATATAATCATGTATCTCTCCCTCCTGCGATTCCTGACTCCTAAAGGATTCTTTTAGCTTAAGTTCGATGCTTGCTATTTCTCTGACCAGTGTCTCCCTACGCATTTCAAATATATTGACCTCTTTTAGCTGCTCTTAGAGTCAATTGAGTTTCTGAGGTCACTACAAAGCACCTTTCAAACAGAGTTTTTGTGTACAGTTTTTTGAAGTTTGCAATGACCTGCTGGTCCATGGGCTGCAGGAGAGGAGTGGTATTAGGAGGCAAAAACTTGACCTAATGAAGCTCATGTCCCCACAAAGTCGCTCTGCCAAGTCTGTAGGATGACCAGGGGCATTGTCTAACACCAGGAGGCACTTAAGGTCTAATTTATTTTCAATTAGGTAATTTTTCACAGTGGGGGCAAATGCATGGTGTAACCAGTCATAGAAAAAGTCCCTAGTGACCCATGCCTTACTGTTTGCCCTCCACAGCACACACAAATTAGCCTTGAGGATATTCTTTTGCCTGAACGCTCTGGGAGTTTCAGAGTGATACACCAATAAAGGCTTCACTTTGCAATCACCACTAGCAGTGGCACACATTAACAGAGTAAGCCTGTCTTTCATAGGCTTATGTCCTGGGAGTGCCTTTTCCTCCTGAGTAATGTAGGTCCTGCTTGGCATTTTCTTCCAAAACAGGCCTGTTTCGTCACAATTAAACACTTGTTCAGGTTTTAGTCCTTCACTGTCTATGTACTCCTTGAATTCCTGCACATATTTTTCAGCTGCTTTGTGGTCCGAACTGGCAGCCTCACCATGCCTTATCACACTATGTATGCCACTATGCTTCTTAAATCTCTCAAACCAACCTTTGCTGGCCTTAAATTCACTCACATCATCACTAGTTGCAGGCATTTTTCTAATTAAATCCTCATGCAACTTCCTAGCCTTTTCACTTATGATTGCTTGAGAGATGCTATCTCCTGCTATCTGTTTTTCGTTTATCCACACCAATAACAGTCTCTCAACATCTTCTATCACTTGCAATCTCTGTTTCGAAAACAAAGTTGCACCTTTGGCAAGAACAGCTTCCTCGATTGCCGTTTTCTTGGACACAATAGTAGCGATGGTTGATTGGGGTTTACTATACAACCTGGCCAGCTCGGAGACACGCACTCCACTTTCATACTTAGCAATGATCTCTTTCTTCATATCCATAGTAATTCTCACCCTTATTCCTGTAGGGTTGGCACTAGAAGCTTTCTTGGGGCCCATGGTCACTTATTTTGCAGGTGAAATCACTAAAAACGCTGTAATAATACGAAATGTTCCGATTGTATGCTTGGATGTTACCACGGAGGCTGGCTTGTAAACAATGCCACCGGCGGAACAAGTGAGGCTGGCTCAGGCCGCACATGGACGCGTCTCGGATGAATCGCGTTGAGTGAGTTTTTTAGCGCTAGGCGAGGCAAAATTTTAGCGATAAAATGTATCGCTAGGCGGATTTAACATTATGTGATGCCAACGTTAGGCGGGGTTCCACTGTATATGAAAAAACAAATATAGTCTTGATATAGACCTTATGGTCTATATCAAGACTATCTATCAAGAAGAAATATCTACAGTCTTGCTACCTCTAATTCTGTCTAAGTAGTTGAGATAAGGATAGTATGGCAAAAGATTCTTTCCCTGTTCTCTGTCCACACTGCTGGCTTGAAAAAGTGGGTAAGCAATTTCCATGATGTATTCAAAGACTGTATTCAGATATTTAGTTGAACTGGTGGCAACAGTTTAATTTTACAGTTAAAACTACTACTGCTTCAACATTATCATTATAACTAATCCATTATATCATGGGCAGTCCATGGTCAATTGATGATCTGACTGGCTTTTGTAAATTAATGTTAGGATTTAAGACACCCACATACTGTACTAGTATCTGTGGAGATGACACCCACATACTGTACTAGTATCTATGGAGATGACACCCACATACTGTACTAGTATCTATGGAGATGACACCCACATACTGTACTAGTATCTATGGAGATGACACCCACATACTGTACTAGTATCTATGGAGATGACACCCACATACTGTACTAGTATCTATGGAGATGACACACCTACATACTGTACTAGTACAGCATATAGTGATTACACCCACATATTGCATTAGTATACAGATCACACACATACTGTGAATAAGTCTCAAACTACATAGAAAAACATTTATTTTTTAAATATAAAATACTCCATTACCATCTAAGTCAGGGTTAATAATCACAAACTGTTCCTCTGTTAAGGGAGTGTTGCCAACCAGTCCTTCACGGTAAAGTCTATACGTAGAGTCGTCATCTGTGAAGGACACATGCCGCTCGTCACAGAAGAAAAGTGACCATTTTTCCCAGGTGGTCTTGATAGAAGGCAGGCCACTGCAAACAAATTTTATCATGGACCCTCCTGAAATATTGCATATTATTGTAAATGATTTTAGTCAATGTGAGATGTGGCAGTACACTAGTTCATCATTCTCAAACCATAGTCCACAATTCACTCAATGTCAAAATTTGCAATTCTGTAAAATAAAGCCATATGCCACAATCTTTATTCCAAATTTTTTCTATATAAAATGCCACAATTGGTGAAATTTCATGGAAAATGGTGATTGCATAAAGTGTAGGACATATATTTCACTAACCACATACTCAAATTCACTTTGTATCTATAAAGTAGCATATGGTATATCACACAAATAAGGTGATTAACATATATATTATTACTTTACAGAAAGCCTCTTGATATGCAAGGCTTCAAATCAGTCAACTTACATGATGACAGGATGGGGAGGAGCATTGTTAGCTTTGTTGTGAGAGAGAGAGAACATTAGCTCTGATTACTGAGATCAGAAAGCCAACAGTATACTGATGTCTAGGCACCCTAGTTAACCCTTTGAGGGTCGACAGGCCCTCTCCGAAACTCGTTCTCAGGGTCGGCCAAATTTAAAAAAAAAAAAATTATTTTCTCTTATGAAAAGATAGAGAATCTTTTCCCGATCATAAAGACACCAAAAGTTTGAAATTTGATAGAAAACTTACGGAATTATGCTCTCGCAAAGTTAGCGGTCTCGGCGATGTTTACGCATCGGCGATTTTGCCTACTTTGAGCCCCATTTTCGGCCAATTTCACTGTACTAGTCGACAAAAAACATGAATATTTCGCTAGAACTCCATTTTTTCTATCGAATGGGTGCAAGAAACCACTCATTTATGAAATTCAACTATCCAGTACAGTGGTCAGAATTTAGCAATTTTGCCAATTTCACACAAATTTCAAAAGATGCCAATTTCCGAATAGGGTCCAGAAATAAACAAGAAAGACATTCCTGGCACTAAAATGACATTTCCTCTAGTCATTAGTCATGTCTCAAGGCCCCTCTTATATTCTTTTGCTTTCCACTTTGAATTTTTATTTTCACAAAAAATATAAGATTTACTGTTATGCAGACTACTGCATTAGTGTAAAAAATGGTATAAATATTATTGGTGCACTTGTGAAAGAATATTAGACTCACCAGTTGACGTGTATTGCACGCTTGGCACGATTTGTTTACTTTTGAAGTTTGGTAAAAATCGAACATTTCTGCTACTTTGAGCTCAATTTCAAGGCACCTTTCTTTGTAAAACCAGTCAAAATCATCTCAATTTCTGTAATATGTCTTCCATTCTATAAAATGAGACCAAGAAAACTAGAATACAACAATAAATACCATACGAAAATACACTGCAAATCGCTGATTTATTAAAAAAAATGGTAAAAGTTTTTTTTTTTCTCATTATGCACTGTGTGCTTCAGGATTTTTTTTAGACTGTGCACACTGACCACATAGACCCATTCTTTCATATGAAGGCCTACCAGCTTTCTCCCACTAGATTTGAGGCCGCTAGAATTTATGAGTACTAGTACGTCAAAAACCCCTACGCGTAAGACGTACTAGTACGACGAAAACCCTGAAAGGGTTAATGTTATTATTACATTAATGGAAAGTGTTAAACCCAAATAGAGGGTAAAGAGGTAGCATTACATTCACAAGGAAGAGCTAAACCTGTAACAATCACAGAGCACTTGAGGAATTAGAAGGGTGGGGGCAATCAGGTTTAATTCTAGGAAGAGGAATGCTAGGCCTAGAGCCCTTTGCCTTCATCAAGGCAAACCCTCTCTTCCCATTCCCCTTGAAGGTAAAAAAAGAAGTATTATACTAAGTGTGTACCTAACCTGGAGTTTACCTGGAGAGAGTTTCGGGGGTCAACGCCCCCGCGGCCCGGTCTGTGACCAGGCCTCCTGGTGGATCAGCGCCTGATCAACCAGGCTGTTGCTGCTGGCTGCACGCAAACCAACGTACGAGCCACAGCCCGGCTGATCAGGAACTGACTTTAGGTGCTTGTCCAGTGCCAGCTTGAAGACTGCCAGGGGTCTGTTGGTAATCCCCCTTATGTGTGCTGGGAGGCAGTTGAACAGTCTCGGGCCCCTGACACTTATTGTATGGTCTCCTAACGTGCTAGTGACACCCCTGCTTTTCATTGGGGGGATGGTGCATCGTCTGCCAAGTCTTTTGCTTTCGTAGTGAGTGATTTTCGTGTGCAAGTTCGGTACTAGTCCCTCAAGGATTTTCCAGGTGTATATAATCATGTATCTCTCCCTCCTGCGTTCCAGGGAATACAGGTTTAGAAAACCTCAAGCGGCTCCCAGTAATTGAGGTGTTTTATCTCCGTTATGCGCGCCGTGAAAGTTCTCTGTACATTTTCTAGGTCGGCAATTTCACCTGCCTTGAAAGGTGCTGTTAGAGTGCAGCAATATTTCCAGCCTAGATAGAACAAGTGACCTGAAGAGTGTCATCATGGGCTTGGCCTCCCTAGTTTTGAAGGTTTCATTATCCTTTCCTGTCATTTTTCTAGCAGATGCGATTGATACAATGTTATGGTCCTTGAAGTTGAGATCCTCCGACATAAATCACTCCCGGGTCTTTGACTGGTGTTTCGCTCTATTTTGTGGCCAGAATTGTTTTGTACTCTGATGAAGATTTAATTTCCTCATGTTTACCATATCTGAGTAATTGAAATTTCTCATCGTAAAACTCATAATTTTTTTCTGCAGCCCACTGAAAGATTTGGTTGATGTCCGCCTGGAGCCTTGCAGTGTCTGCAATGGAAACACTGTCATGCAGATTCGGGTGTCATCTGCAAAGGAAGACACGGTGCTGGGGCTGACATCCTTGTCTATGCGGATATGAGGATGAGGAACAAGATGGGAGCTAGTACTGTGCCTTGTGGAACAGAGCTTTTCACCGTAGCTGCCTCGGACTTTACTCTGTTGACGACTACTCTCTGTGTTCTGTTAGTGAGGAAATTATAGATCCATCGACCGACTTTTCCTGTTATTCCTTTAGCGCGCATTTTGTGCGCTATTACGCCATGGTCACACTTGTCGAAGGCTTTTGCAAAGTCTGTATATATTACATCTGCATTCTTTTTGTCTTCTAGTGCATTTAGGACCTTGTCGTAATGATCCAGTAAGGGCAAAAGAAGCAAATTACAGCTGATGTATGTAACTTCATTTTATATAAAAATCAGTAAATATTTAGTTTATTCCTATGTCAGAACTGAGTTATATTATATTAAAAATGCTATCTATAGCATGGCAGAATCAGATATTGTGCAAATTATTAAATTGTTATTTTAGGATATTTTAAGCATAAAATTATTTTAAGGAGAACTCGGAATTCATGCGTATGTACCTTGGACTAAACAACAAGCAGTCAGTATACTATATATTTATTCACATAATGTGCTTTGCCAATCAAAGATCATAAACAAAAAATTCAAGGAAAATTCTCATTATAGTAGGAGTGTCAGAAAGTTGCGTGCAGTAAATATGTCAGGGTTCAGAATTTTCGTTTAAATCACAGGAAAGCGCTAAACCCATTGGGGTCATACAACACCTGGGAGCCATTCACGTTGGATTCATGGAAGGGAAGGCTAAGTCCAGTTCCTTGGATCAAGAGCTTCCTCACCTGCAGTGAGGCACCTCCCTAGAGAGAACAGAGTTTTGAAGGAGAGGTCAAAAATGAAATCCACTTGTATGCTTTGTATGAAATAGAAAATCTATGGAAAGATGTTATAAGTTAATTTAGGTACAGATACACAATTACATAAGTACAATTATCATACCAAGTAATGTGTAAATTACCCAGGATAACCCAATTATCATTATTATTGCATTCAAAACTAAGCGCTAAACCCACGAGGGATATACAGTAGAATAACCATAAAAAAAGGTCAAAGTAACTTATTTCTACTGGGGTTCTCGGAGTGTCAAGAGAACCTTACACTTCTTGTGGTGGCTGAGGCAGGAGCTGTTTGAGGAGGTGTTCATTAGTTTCTTGAAACAAAATAATTTTATCGTATATATATTATTATCGGGAGCGCTAAACCCGTAGGGATTATACAGCGCCTGTGGGGGGAACGTGGGGTATGGAAGGCATTCAGGCTTAATTCAGAAAATATTGGAGCACAGTTCCAATTCCCTAGATCAAGAGCCCCTCATCAGCATCAAGGAACCTCCCTGGAGCGGTAATTGCACTGATAACAAATTGAGCTCACCAGATAACCCAATGTTGAATCTTCCTCTCTCATTAATAGATTCATTGGAAAGTTTTTCAATTAAAGCACCCAGCTCTCTAATTACTTCCTCCTCGTTTTCAACAACTTTTCGAACGATCTTGGACACAGGAGGTGACATTGTTGTTCAAGTGAAACTTTTTTCTTCTCCGTCTTGTTGTTGGGTTTGTAAGGGCTACTGACAGTTTACACCGTGTAACACTAATAGTAATAATAATAATAATAATAAATCTTTATTTCTACAATTGCATGGTATAACTTATACAGACCATAACTGACATCAATGCCGTACTATATAGAAAGCCCCCTGCTATGCAAGGACACTTCGGGTGCATTAGGTTAATTTTGTCCCCAGGATGCGACTCACACCAGTTGCCTAACACCCAGGTACCTATTTACTGCTAGGTGAACAGGGACAGCAGGTGTCTTAAGGAGAATTATTATTATTATTATAATCATGGGGGAGCGCTAAGGCTTAAGGAGAAGATGCTGTCCAAAGCCGGGCATTGAAAGAAAATGTAACTAAGTTTATTCAGGTATACACAAATAAAGTTACATAGATTATTTGTGGAAATTTGTCTGGACTGCCTCCATGCGAGTTGTCTACCCTAGCAAACTCTGTTGACACCGAGCTCTGAGGTTAGGGCCTCAGTCTCACAAGTGGCCCTAGGGCTAGACTCATGGAACTCCGTGTTCAAGTTAGACAGTCCTCGATGACGCACTGACTTTCTTGGGTTATCCTGGGTGGCTAACCCTCCGGGGTTAAAAATCCGAACGAAATCTTATCTTATCTTATCTTATCAAGAACTGCAAAAAGCCCTTATCACGTGCTTTTAACATCCTATGGATAGGGAGCATGGACACTGGGGTCGTCCCACAGTTATTAAAAACAACAGACATAGCCCCACTCCACAAAGGGGGCAGTAAAGCAATATCAAAGAACTACAGACCGATAGCACTAACATCCCATATCCCATATCATCCCATGTTTCTTTGTTGTGGGAGTCGACTGTGAGGTGTGGTGTAAGCCCTTTAATTGCCTTCCTTTGATGTATTACTTTCATAGTTCCTTGACAATGTGAGTAGTCACGAAAGCGCTTGGAATTTCACTACTCTTTCACAGTGGTTGTTTTGCATATTTTAAAATCACCTGTTTACTGTGATCTTATTGCATATATATCGATCGCATCTGCTAGAAAAATGACAGGATGGATAATGAGAACCTTCAAAACGAGGGATGCCAAGCCCATGATGACACTCTTCAGGTCACTTGTTCTATCTAGGCTGGAATATTGCTGCACACTAACAGCACCTTTCAAGACAGGTGAAATTGCTGACCTAGAAAATGTACAGAGAACCTTCACGGCGCGCATAACGGAGATAAAACACCTCAATTACTGGGAGCGCTTGAGGTTCCTGAACCTGTATTCCCTGGAACGCAGGCGGGAGAGATACATGACTATATACACCTGGAAAATCCCCAGAGGGGCTAGTACCGAACTTGCACACGAAAATCACTCACTAGAAAGCAAAAGACTTGGGAGACGATGCACCATCCCCCCAAAGAAAAGGAGGGTGTCACTAGCACGTTAAGAACCATACAAAAGTGTCAGGGGCCCGAGACTGTTCAGCTGCCTCCCAGCATACATAAGGGGGAAATTTCCAACAGACCCCTGGCAGTCTTCAAGCTGGCACTGGACAAGCACCTAAAGTGTTCCTGACCCGCCGGGCTGTGGCTCGTACGTTGGTTTATATATATATATATATATTTTAAAATATATAAAATATATATATATAATTTTTATATATAATAATATATATAATATATATATATATAATATGCGGCCGAAAAGGCAGAACTTGCGATCTTGGCTTAAATAGGCAACGTTCATCTTGCCATATAGGACAAGTGAAAATTTGTGTATGCAATAATTTCGCTAAAATCATTCTGAACCTAACGAAAAAAATATATTTCACTGTGTTTGTTCAGTATTAAATTTTTTGTAAACAAATCTAAAATATATTTAGGTGGGTTAGGCTAAAATAAAAATTTTTCTTGTTTTAATAAGGTTAGGTAAGTTTTCTAAGTTCCTTTGGTGCAAAAATTAAAAATTTTACATCAACATTAATGAAAAAAAATATATCTTTTAAACATATAAGAGAAATTTTTTAGAAAGGACTTAATTTTAAACGAGTTCTTGCAAATGACCAGTTTTACATATTCGGCACGACATATTTTATATATATAATATATATATATATATATATATATATATATATATAAAAATTATAAAATATATATAATATATAAATATATATATATATATATATATATATATATAATGTCCTGTCTAAGGGCAATGTGGGTGTAAAAAATTATGCAGAAAATTCGGAGTGTGGAAATTAGGAGAAGGTGTGGAGTTAATAAAAGCATTAGTTCAGAGGGGAAGAGGGGGTTTTTGAGGTGGTTTGGTCATTTAGAGAGAATGGATCAAAGTAAATGACATGGAAAGCATATAAATCTATAGGGAAGGGAAAAAGGATAGGGGTCGTTTTCGAAAGGGTTGGAAAGAGGGGGTAAAGGGGTTTTGTGGCGAGGGGCTTGGACTTCCAGCAAGCGTGCATGAGCGTGTTAGATAGGAGTTTAATGGAGATGAATGATACTTGGGACCTGACGATCTGTTGGAGTGTGAGCAGGGTAATATTTAGTGAAGGGATTCAAGGAAAAACCCTTTATTTCATATAGTCGGACTTGAGTCCTGGAAATGGGAAGAACAATGCCTGCACTTTAAAGGAGGGGTTGGGATATTGGCAGTTTGGGGGGATATGTTGTATATCTTTATATGTGTATGCTTCTAAATGTTGTATTCTGAGCACCTCTGCAAAATCAGTGATAATGTGTGAGTGTGGTGAAAGTGTTGAATGATGATGAAAGTATTTTCTTCTTGGGATTTTCTTTCTTTTTTGGGTCACCCTGCCTCGGTGGGAGACGGCCGACTTGTTGAATAATATATATATATATATATATATATATATATATATATATATATATATATATATATATATATATATATATATATAATATATATATATATATATATATATTTACACACAGTCAGAATTAATAGCGTGCACCTGCAGTTGTTGAATAAATTTATCAATGTTGTAGACTAACAATAATGTTATGTTTATAGGATACATACACCGAGAGGTGTATTTTTCTCAGCATATCTATGCTGAGAGTTTACTATAATACCTTATTTTAGGGATTAAAATATTGTCTGGTGGTGAAGAGGTTATCCTGCAGCCTCAATGACCCTAGTGTAGTCGATAGGTATTAAACCCCATTAACCAACCAGTCACTCATCTTTGACCAGAGGTACAATTAAAGAAAATGTTTCGGTATAAACAATGATGATAAAATCGGTGTCATTAGTCAACGAAATACGTCGAATTGCTGTAACCTTCTTGGCTGCCTAGTTTGCAAGATTAACGGCATGGTTCTTCATGGTCAGTATGGAGTCGAATTTCGCCCCAAGGATATCAAGTGCGTCCCCAGGTACCAACACTTCAACTAGGTAATGAGTTCCACACGTTCATCAGCGGTGAACTTATTCTGGGTTACTTATGTAAATGTTACTTTGCACGGGCAGATATTGATGCCCTCAGATGTCCCGTCACAGTTTCGGAACAGGACATGTAAACGACATGTCAGATTTTAAATATCTTTTCTGAAATATATGGGAAGAAATTTTGAAAGGTGTGCTTCATAATAACATGTTTTTTTTTTAATGTTTCAATTCCCAAAAAAAAAGTGAAAATGTTAGCTTTGCAATATTTACTTCATACATGCTCCAGTATTTCTGTTGATGAATAACACGTATGAGTAATACCCGGGAATATTTATTATGATGTTGTTTTGCGCCAGCCAGTACAGAAGTTATTTAAAGTTGTTGAGCATGGAGACAATAGCCTATGGATAAGTGCACATGTACCAACACCACACACACACACATATATATATATATATATATATATATATATATAATATATATATATATATATATATATATATATAATATATATATATAAAATATATATATATATATATATATATATTTGTATATTATATACATACATACAAACTTTGCCATATCGTTTGTGGTGTTCAGTAAGTCTTTGCAAATGATCGACTAACATACAGACCAACTTTTTCTTTGTTTTTTGTTTCGGTCACACCCAGGTACTTCACTCTCGAGGCAGTAAAATAGTTCTGAATGGCATCTCTGTGCCACAGAGATGACATTTATGTTCATTCATGTACATATGCCAAGACGGGTCCTGGCCTGGGTCTTCTCCATGTGGTGACCCGGCAGTGGCTCCCGAAGGAGTGTTAGCGTTGGTACTAATGATGTACCGTGTACCTAGGTATTAATACTTCTCAAGGTAGTATCATAGATGCTTTCTGTAAAAAATACAAACATGGCATTTGAATCGGCGAGGAGTCAGCTGATAAACTGTTTAAAATCTTGTATGTTTGCAAACACGATATGGGTGAATGTTGGATGATAGATTAAAGGTGGGTGGGTAAGGTTGGCAATGGGTGCTCGTGGTGGGATTCACTCAATCCAATAAAACACTGGAGATTCCATCTTAATTTTCTCCCCTCTACATTTGTCTCCAGAAAGAACTTCATTAGTGTATCACGATTTTCTAAAAATAATTTTTTATAAAATAAAATATGAGGAAATTGTTTGTTATTTGTTTAGCAGTGGCCCTCTGGGCCTATGCGGATGTTCTTAGGCACCTGCTGGAGGAGAAGGTGGTGATCCTCGAGACGGGCCTCAAGGAGACGTCCTCCTCCAGCTATCTAATAACATGGATCTTGGACCTCCACGAGCAGGCATTACCCGAGGCAGAGCCCCTCGGTCTGTTTGGGTCCATGCCTTTATTGGGTTCATTCATCGCCTGTTTCAAGGCCTGCACAGCCTCCAGATTCTGTATCCACTCATGGACATGGAGGTTCCCGTGGTGATCACCGGGGCGGTGTGGATGCTCGTGTTGGCTCTCGGCACCTTCAGCGTCTTCCTGATCCTCGGCGCCCTAGTCTGCTGCAGGAACTCTCTGTTATGCAATAGAGCAAGAGAACTTACCCTCAGGGCTCAACTTCGTAAGCAAGAGATTATAC